AAAGGGGAACAGTAGTACTCAGAGTGGAGGATTTAGAATTCAGATGAATTAAAAGACTGAAGGCTTAGAGCTGTGTTTGGCAAATAATTTTGAAAGCTTATTTACCTATGATTCTTAAGATCATCTCAATCTGATGTCAGTGGGACAAGTGAACTCTAAGATTCACTTATTTCAGCGAATCAGAAGGATTGACCAAAGTATTTCTTTTTAAGATTATTTACTTATTTATTTATTCATGACAGAGAGATTGAGAGAGACAGGGGCAGAGACACAGGCAGAGGGAAAAGCAGGCTCTGTGCTCAGTGGGGAGTCCAATGCAGAACTTGATCCCAGGACCCTGGGATAATGATCTGAGCTGAAGGTAGATAGATGCTCAACCGCTGAGCCACCCAGGTGTCCCTGGCCAAAGTATTTAACAGCTTTCAGGCAGTTCTTAGAAGTGCTTTAGAGCCTGACAGTGGGGCCGGAACACAACCTCCGTGCCCGACAGCTAGGGCTGTCTGCCTTCCTTCCTCTCACTAACCTCTCCTGAGAGAAAACCACTTTGCTGACTCGCAAGTCTGCTTATCCTAAAATGAGTTTTAGCCTATGAATAGAAAGATTGGCATTAAAGAAGAAGCAGAAGTGTGACTAAAAATAAATGCCCTTGGCGGCCCCAGAAGTGGCCCAACAAGTGGACTAAAGACATTCCTGTAGATAGCACCCATCTCTCAAGCAAGGAGGAGAGGGAGAGGCCCCTGAATCCTGGGCCCCGCCAGTCCCAGGAGAGTGGCAGCCTGAGCCTCTCTGTGCTGGTTCAAGTTCAGGTCGAGCCTGATACTCAGAAACCTCCCCGTACCCTGGGCAGCCTGGAGCCCTCTAGGGAAAAGTGCAGCCTACCATGAAGGCTTGATATCTACTGTGAGGTCTATGCAGTTTCCCACTGACCCATTAAACCTTGCAGGGACAGTCAGGCAACAGCAGGCTGACATCTGTGTGCATTTAAACCCCTGAGTTTTGGGACCCCTGGGTGGCTCAGTGGTTGAGCATCTGCCTTTGGCTCAGGGCGTGATTCCGGGGTCCGGGATCAAGTCCCACATCAGACTCCCTGCAGGGAACCCACTTCTCTGTGTCTCTCATGAGTAAATAAAATCTTTAAAAATAAAGACATAAATAAGCCCCTGAGTTTTTTGGAGCCACTGAACCACCAACATGTCTGGGCAGCAACGTTCACTCTTGAGGTGAGCAGGGCTCCTGGGACAAGGCGCCTTAAGGTCAGTTTGCAGGGTCTGATTCCGCCTGGGCAAGTGACAGAATGAGCAAGTTAGTCCTTGGCATGGGTGGGCCTTCTTTCATTACAAAGGTAAATAGCTGTGACTAGGTACGTATGTGACTACGTACAAGTGACTTCCGACCCCCTGACCCAGAGGGGCAGGGATAGTCATTCTAAGTATTAGAGCTCAAAGAAGATCCAGATCAAGGCCAACGGTTTGATTTCTTAAAGCAACAGGAAGAACCCTTTTCAAATTCTTACACAAAAGTCAAGTATTGATAAAGAAAGCCTTCCTGGCTGAAACAGGCAAAACACCCAGGTTCCCCACTGTCACGGCCTTTCCTCCACCGACCCCCAACTTTAACCACCTTTTTGGCACTAAGGCATTCCTATGAATCCCCGTGGCTTTGAGGAACCTGCTAAAAACCACATCGACTCTCAGCTGTTCACCTTTCTGGGCAGATAGATCTGGAGATATTGGTTGCCTAGAGCTTCTACTCCTAGGGTTATTTTTTGAGGCATCAATCCGTGTCTTAGCCTAGCCTAAGGATTAAAAGCACCTTGGGGGAGAGAGGAGGATGCCTGGGTGGCACACACTGTTGAGGCTTCGACTCTTGGTTTCAGCTCAGGTCATGATCTCAGGGTCAGGAGATCGAGCCCGGCACTGGGTGCTTGGTGCAGGGTCTGCTTGGAACTCATTCACCCTCTCCCTCTGCCCCTCCCTCCCATGCTCTAAAATAAATCAATCAATCTTAAAAAAAAAATAAAAGCACGTCGAGTGTAGACGATTTCAAGCTCAACTGTTCCCTTTATGAAAGTAGACTTAAGGGTCACGGATGAAAATAGCCTATAGGTCCACAATCCTGTAATCCCCCAAAGGCTGTGGAAATCAAAAGCTCCTTAACTTGTTTGGTGCTTTCGGTTCTCCTGGAGCTCTGTACGGCCGTGTTCCCAGCCGAGCACCAGAGGCGAGATGGAGAAGAATCTTTTTGAAACTTTGACGGAACACCCACAGCGTTGCAGTCTGGCCACGGTCCCAGCACGGGATCCAGCCTCGGAGCTCTGGCTGCCCTGCACCAGGCGGGACGTTCAACAGAAGCCAGGGCCACGTTCCGCCCAGGAGCAACCTCATAACCGAATGCTTAGATAATAAGAAACTGAGGCATGGCCATCAGGCCTACGGTCTTACCTCTCTTTAAAGAGAGGGTCCCGTATGAGGGCAGCTAGCCAGCCTTAGCCACCGCCACCCCCACCCCCACCCCACTCGTCCTGTGAAGGAGCAACAGCATTCAGTAGCTTTCTCCACTTCTAACCTCCATCGCTTCCCCCCTCATAATACAGGGTCACGTGTGTGTCCCAGTAAAACACAGTTCCAGGACTGTTGGGTAGAAGCTTGGGGGAAGTGGAAATAGCTCAGATAAGAAAAGGTAGACATTAAATTCCTTTTTGTCTTAAGGAATTGGAATAAAACACTGAGAAAATGCTTATGTTTGTCCTGAAAGTCTGCTTAGGATCAATTCTGGAAGCAGTGCTGCTGGGATCTTACTCTCATTTCTTACTGCTGATCATTCCTTTGCTACCATGATGTTCAGAGACTCTCCTGGAGGTGCTGGGGCACTAAACGCCAGCCTGATTTCACCTGTGTGCCTGTATTTGATCCCAGGCCCGCTTGCATGTCTAGGAAATCTCTAGCTTCCAAAGTCATTTTTAAGATCTTCCAGGCCCTAACCTTGAAGTGGAAAACCATCATTTGACACCTACTTCTGTGTCCCTGTCCAAGTCTGATTCTATGCTGACCTTTTTATGCTTTATAGGCTTTACCTTTACCTACAGTATAGGTGTGTCTGAATTTTTGTCTTCTTTTTCACTGAACAACCTTTGGTACCTCAAACCTTTAAAAAAAGTTCAGAGCCTCCATCGTACCCTAACTGGAGCCTGACTGTTCTAACTAGACTTCTATTGATGTTGTTTGACGACAAACTGTTCATCTGCCACTTTCACATTAAGTTCTCTAAATAAATTCTTGCCACTCCCACAGCCCTCAAAGGTAGTAGGTAGGGATAGAGAACTAAAGCCAGAGGCCCCTGCAGCAGATCCCCCCCAGCAGCGAGAACACTGAGAGGCTGTTGGAAATATAGGGATAGGTGGGGGAGGCAGCTGCTTCTCTGCTTTGGTTGAACAGTATAAAAGCCAGCTGCTGACTTCCCCCAACAACCTCTACCCTTCTCAATCCCTGATATCTTATGCCAATAAGATATTTGTGAAATGAACGAATGTTGTGAAATATAGGTAGGAAGTGCCATCAAATCATACTGCTTTGTATCTGGGTCCCACCTTAACCAGACTCTTGGGAGCAGAGTGGTACACACGGTTTATGAATACATTCAGTATCTAAGAATGGAACCACACCCATGTGGTAAACCTGACTTGGACCAAATTCTAATCTCTCTGGGAATTAGCCACAAAGCATAGACCGCCCCCAGATAGGAGGGGCTAGCTGATAGTAGGGAGGCCAACGGGAGTATTGTATACCGGGCACAAGAGTTCCAGTCTGTGCTTGTCACTGTAGTGTCTGTCTTTAGGCCGGCATGCCACAGCTGCAGATGCTGGAAGGTGGCAGGAAATCTGCTTAGAGGGCCTGCCTAAGTAATCTGCACGAGCCATAGGGCACCCCTGGTTGTCCTGAATATTAGCAGTATATTTCTATTAAGCAACCAGATCGTTGGCCTTTTAGCTCAAAGAAATCACATCCTCCAGAAGAGCACATGTGCTAATGGTAGGAAACACCTGAATGTTAGCTGTCCCATGCCAGGCAAAAACAAAAAAATAACAAAACTAAGTGTTCTACTTACAAGGATTAGTTCATACCACTGTGTGAATTAAATATCCATACATCGAGTGCAGGAAAATAGAGATTCAGAGAAATAGAATCTGGGTCTGTGATGCTCCCTCACTTTTTCTTCTGTTGCTAAAAGTGATCTCCCTTTACCTCTCAACTATAGCTTCTTGATTTTTATCTTTGAGCTGTTTTGTAAGCATGTCTTTTTCTAATTAGACCTCAGATTTTTAAAATGAGGACATTAAACCTCTGTCCTGCCCCCTCTTTGCTATCATTCTTTCTAAGTCTCCCTGAGTTTACTTGTAATAGAGGCATCATCCATGAATAACAGTACCAAATGTGATCAAGAAATGCCATTAAAGGGTTAGGATTTGGCTGATTACAGTTCCACAAGTGAGTTAAACACATGAGGGAAATGAGTCCAGGGGCAAGTGAGTCCAACCTAACTCCCCATGGTCTCTGGGAAATCTAGGTTCCTTCTATCTTGGTCTGGCTCCATGGGCCCAGGATCTCTATTCCAGCCACCATGCCCAATTTTCAGGATCCTGAAAGGAATAAAGGAAAGGATAATGGGTCCCCAATCCCTTTGAGGATATTTCCCAGAAGTTCTATTTATCATTCTATTTATATTCCATTAACTAGACCTTAGGCCCATCCATGGCTATGCCTCACTGCAAGAGAAGCTGGGAAATCTAGTCTTCTCCAGATGGCATTTGCCCAGCAAAGAATTCAATCACTGCCTGTCACTGCCCCAATGCCCACCCTCCCCTGGCCCCTAGAATGTTCTAGCCTGCTGAGCCTGCAGCTCTCCCTTCGAGAAGGACCATGTCCATGGGTTTTGGGTAACTTGCAGCTCTAACTTCCCATGCTTGTATCCCAGCTTAGCTAAGTGCTCCCTCCTGATTTTAGGAAGAAAAGCCAAATGTGAACCCTCCCAATTCCAGTGCACAAATGGCCGCTGTATTACATTGCTGTGGAAATGCGACGGGGATGAAGACTGCGCTGATGGCAGTGACGAAAAGAACTGTGGTGAGTAAGGAGCCTTGCAGTGTCCCTCACGAGGATGCATGCACGTCACTAAGTGTGATGCCCTTATCTTAGCTTCTTAAATGTTTCGAGGTTCTGAAAATAGAATCCACTCCTAAGAATTGCCTTGACTGCAGGTCCCAAAAGTCTCTACATCTTGGTCTAGAGGAATTTAGTTGAATGTTTGACATGGGGCTACCAGCCTGAGTGTGGAATGTTGAAGATCAAGTGGAGGTCCTTCCAAATGACAGGACCTGGTTTGTCAGAGGTCAGGCAAACATTCAGTATAGGAAGCTAGGAGAGGGGGCAGGAGGACCAGAAGTAGAGACAGGAGCTTGCTTAGAACAGACCTTCTTTTTGTAATTCTCAAAAAGCTCTGATAGCGCCCCCCAAAGAAAATAAGTCATGAACAGTAAGAAATCCCCTCAGGTTTCAGGGGGGTAATAAACTCCTGGCTTTGAAACTACGGCCCCTGTCGATCACAGATCAGATAAGTATTTTTAATAATTGCCTACAATAGATGCTAATTCTAAAATGGTAGGCAGGGTAAAAGACATTCTTTCCCCCAGAGAATGGGGATATACCGTCATACCCACCGATCAACGTCATCCAGAGATCATTGTGAGAAATGCCTCATGTTGAGCCTGAATAGCTGAGAACTACGTGTCAAGGTGGCATTTAGGCTACCTTGAATACATGCTGAAGTTTATTTTTTGATCCCTTTGTTCTGTGTCAGAATCTTGAAACAAGACTGTGTGTGAATGTTGGTGACAACATTGTCATTTGCCTTTTAATGGATGTTATTGAAAGATGTCTACAAACTAGAAATACAGAAGAAAAACAGAAGCTAAAGGTAGATTGCATCAACTGCTGTCTTGTTATGCCCTTACCTGCTTCTTCATGCGTCATTACAAAAATGGCATAGCGTAAGCATCAGGGTAGGCGGTCTTATGCTTGAGCTCGCTGAGCAGTATCATGAGTGTTTGCACACCAATATGTGGATTAGCAGCCCATTTGGAAACCTAGGATGTCCCTTCTACAATCTCAGGGAAGAAGCATCTCCAGTCTCAGGACCAACAGTAGTCCTCCGGGCACTACTTTGCCATCGTGTACGTTCTAACGCTGGGATTTTAATCTACTCTACAAGACATTGAGTTCATGTCACTTCTAGGTTACCTAGGTAATAGAATTCCCTCACGAAATCTCTCACTGGAAGGACTCACTTTGGCAACTCCTCTCTTGGTATAAGTAGTGATTCTTCCTCAATTCTAAAGTATGTACTTGGCAAAGCCCATTGTTCTTTCTTAGAAAGTAATCATTCTCTTCATGTTTCAGAAGCCTTCTCTGACCATCTGACTAACTTGGTAGCAACTAACCTGGGTCATCTTAGGAGTCACCCCTGGCTTTTCCTAAAGTAGTCTCCACCTAAGTAAATGCTAGACACACGGCAGGAGGGTTTGCAAGAGTGAAGGGGGGATATTTATGTACTGAAAATCACTCCAGGTGGAAAAAATTAAATAAATTCTTGGCCAGAATTGGTCTCTGCCTCCAGGATATGAAGATATAGAAGGAAAGTGGGAACACTGCTCAGGGAAGCTCTGCATGCTTATTTTGAGATGTTCCTCCCTAGAAGGGAAAAGCTGCACAATTGCTTAAAACTCATAAAGCCACACTTCTTATTTTTCCTGTGCAACCTCTTGGTAGTGAACTGGGCTGCAGTTTCAGCAGGGCTGTTTCTTTCAAGCATGTCCACCAGCATTCTTAGTCAACTACAGCTTAGAATCCAGAGCCATGTGTTTCCATCAGCCCCATGGAACTCAAGTGTGAGGCTGACCTGATTAATGAGTAACTTAGAGACTCTGAGTGGGTAACTGTTAGTTCTCTTCCCCTTTGGCACACCTACACTGCTATCCATCTCTCAAGGCCCCATTCGAATAGACTTTCTTTACCCTCCCAGTCTGTATTCAGAATGGAAGAGAGATGAACTCTAGAAAGCTTCCATCACTATTTATCTTTTGCTCCAACACTTTGTAGCATGGCCAGCTTGTCTATGCCTACAACATTTTATATGTCTTTAAACCACCTTGTCTCTTTATAATTATTTCTTGCTTCCTCTTCCTGAGGACCCTCACAGGTTGGGTTACAGCAAACTCACTCTGCAGATGCTCTGGCATCTTCCCACATGCTCAGGAGCACATGGCCCTCAGATACCGCTTTTAACCATGAATACCGGAGTTTGAGGATTTCAGGGATTTCAGAGACAGGTACAATTCTAAAAGCTAACATGGCCTTTCTTGTTTCCTTGGCTACACAACTCATGTAGATGAATAATTCCTTTTGGATCATCATGATTCATCATCACATCTTGAGTTCTGGGAATGAGCTAGAATCATTATTTCCCTGCTGCACAGCGTCCAAGGCTAAACCAGAGTGGCCCTCTACTTCTGTGTCCTCTACACTCTGTGACTTGTCCATAGCTCAGACCCCAGACTTGAAGCAATCCCTTTCAAGTTCTCAGCAAATTGTTGGCTTTTAGCTGATTTGCCATTTACAGAATGTTCGTTAGAGAGGAAGAGCGTAAACTGGAAGTTTAAACACACAAGCAAGAAAGAATACAGCTTGGGAAGGAGGGGCCTAGAATACTCTATGTGGCTGCTTATCAAGACTCATCTGACTCTGACTTCCTTATGGCTAAGGTGACCAAACCACTCAATTGGCTTAAGAGAGTCAAGTTTATGCTTCTCTTCCTGGTATAGTTAAGTGTCCCCTTTCCACTGAGATTGTCTCAATTTGGACAACAAATTAATTGAATGGTCATCAGAATTACAGGAAAAAAGGCCTGCCCTAGTCAGAATCAGTAACAGAATTGATACCTTTTTAAGGAAATTTTTCATTCTAGTCATCAGTTGTAGACATTGGCAGCTTTCATAGCTGATGTTACTCTGTCTCTTGGATTCTAAATGTGACCTCTTTTGTACCCAGGTTTAAGCTTTCTCTATTTCTTACTGGCTGGGTTCCTCTGCCCCCAACAGACCTATAGGAGTGGCAATATTCATTCCTGGGGCTTATCCTTCTGAATCTACACTAAACCCATGCACTGTTAGGAGATGCTCCCAGTAGAGCTGTATTGTGATCAGTCATAGGATGGAATGTTTGGCTTTTTTTTTTTAAGATTTTATTTATTCATTCATTCATTCATTCATTCATTCATTCATGAGAGAGACAGAGAGAGAGAGAGGCAGAGACACAGGCAGAGGGAGAAGCAGGCTCCATGCAGGGAGCCTGACATGGGACTTGATCCTGGGTCTCCAGGATCAGGCCCTGGGCCAAAGGCGGCACTAAACCGCTTAGCCACCCGGGCTGCCCGAATGTTTGGCTCTTAAACCTTATGAAGCACCTGAAGGGCCTGGAAGAAATGCACAAAGAGAATATAACTATTACTTAAACTCAACAACAGAAAACAGGCAAAAATTGTAAGGTATCTCTGGGTTGTAAGGTAAGGAGCAACTCCTGTCTTACAGTGACTTCCATATCCTCCCACTCTCTCAAACAAGTACCTTTCTTCTCTGGAGGAAAAAAAAAAAGATTTTTCTAGTGTTCTCCTGGCTATTGGCAGTTGAGCACTAATTCATTCAGTTTCATTATTGGAGCAAAATATATCAACGGTAGTTTTACCTCCAATGGGAATATAAGGTCTCAAGTGACTTTGACTCTAATCCTGCCAATATGCTTTTGTAGTAAAGAAGACGTGTGCAGAGTCTGACTTTGTGTGCAACAATGGCCAGTGCGTCCCCAACCGGTGGCAGTGTGACGGGGATCCTGACTGTGAAGATGGTTCTGATGAAAACCCAGAACAGTGCCGTGAGTGACTTGCTTTGGACTTTTAACTTGCTCGGGCTGTTTCGTGTCTCATAGCTCTAAGTATGGTTTCATCTAAAACTTGGTTTTAGTTTCCTTTGCCTATGTTGATGTGTAGGCCAGTGGACTCCTAGGTCAGCCAAGTCATTAACAGTTGATAAGTGTCCTTTAACGAATGTCCTCCCTAGTCTAACAAGACTGACATTCTCTTGGGTAGCTTCACTATTGAACATTTAAGACCGAAGCCAGCCGATTTGATTAAGAACTCCTTGACTAGGTGCACACATTTCAAATATTTGGTAATCATGACTCTGAGCAGATGGTACTCTGGTCCTGGAAGCTAAGTCAAGATATGAGGGTTCCCCCTTGGGCCCAGGATAAACTTTTAGATGCATAGCTTGTGTTATGAAAAAAAAATCTATTACTGAAGGGGTAAGGTGGCTAGAAAGAGGGTGACATCATGATTTTTAACAAACCCGGTACCTAAGGTTATTAAAGTACGGTCAAGCTTACAGCTTATTTTTAATAAGAGAAATTGCATAGGTAGGCAAATGTCTATCTGTGTCCTTAGGTGGATAGACAGGGGAAGGTCTGTGGCATCACAGAGGAGGAAGATTTGGGACAGATAAATTGGGATCATTTGAGTGTTGTGATGAAAAAAGTCTTGGTGTTCATTTCCATGCGGTAGAGACCTGCCCAAGCATGAATAGTGCAAATCGAATAGGAACCAAGTTTAGGTCTGGAATAGGATCCCAAAGCACAGTGAAGCAGAAAGGAAGATGAATGCCTCCATTTCCGTTTTTGAGGCAAGAAATCAGAGGAGTGATAAGAACATTGGTCAGGGCGGGTAAATCACCACAGGTAAAGAGGGTCCACCAAGTCACGGCCCTGAGTCTTAGTGAAGGGTAAGTGACCCAGTGATGTCAAGAATCAGGAGGTGTCCCTGTCTTGTAGACCCAACGTAGGTTGTGAAGAAACCTATATGGGAATCTAGGCAGGGCAATACTTCACAGGTGTCAGACCATCCAGCCTTTAATGAAGTTGGAATTAGGTGACCTTATCTGCTGACAGATAACAAAAAAAAAAAAAAAAAAAAGGTCAAGGAGCAGGCCAGCCAAAAATAAGCCCAACTGTGCCAAGTAAAACAGAAGTCCGAGTGGAGCCTGCCACGGAACCTTGAAGGAGTAGCACAGTCAAGGCTCTGGGGTGTCCTGCCAAGCAGCACGGTGGGCATGGCCTCTGAGCAGCAGAGTTGGCCAGTGATCTCCCCAGGCTTGGACTAGTAAGTAGAATGTCACGCATTCACCAGGCTGCTGAGTTACAGGTGTGACCACTTGCAGGCAGCTCAGGAGCAGCAGCTTTGCACTGATGCATTGGGAGGCTCTTTTGAGACTGTATATCATCAACAGATATGAGAACATGCCGCATAAATGAAATCAGCTGTGGCGCCCGTTCTACTCAGTGTATCCCAGTGTCCTGGAGGTGTGATGGTGAAAATGATTGTGACAGTGGAGAAGATGAAGAAAACTGTGGTAAGAAGATCAGTGTTGAGTGGCTAATCCCCCAGACCCTTTTTCTCAGAGAAGGGTGGGCAGGGGGAAGGAAGCTCACTGGAGCGTCAAGATGCAGCTCCACTGACTCGCTTTTCAGTGACTTCACTCTGCTCAGCTACTTGGCCTTCCTAACTGCCCTAAAACTCTGACACAAGTCCCCCTGGTTACTGACCACTGCTTGCTTTGGTGTGGGCTCCTAGGCAGATAGAAATGAGAAGGTAAGTCATTCAGGGCACTGCCAGTTAGAAGTAGCGCAGAGAGGCCATGATGATGTGGGCATCTGTGAGTGTTAGGACAGGGATTCACGGGCCTTCCTTGCTTGGGCTCTTGGCTTGGGCTTCCTGATGGTTTTATTAAACCATCAGGAAACTAGGGCCAGCAAGCTCATTCCTAGGTCTCAGGGTGGCATCTGCTTCTTGGAAATGAATTACTCGAGAAGCATACGAGCACGTCTTACCCCCAAACTAGATTCTTTTTCCCCCCCAAACTAGATTCTCTTCTTAAGCTTTCTAAAGGTTAACCTGGCACAGAACCATGCTAACCACCTTGCCAGCAGGTACCCAAAGAAAACCTCACCCAACTGATGGTGCTTTTGTCTCTTCTCATAGTTCCTGCCTGTCAAAGTTAGCTCTGTTTCCTACGCTTTCATGTTTCTGTTCCTGGAAAATGTGTAATAAAGTGCTACATGTTCCAGGAGAGGCCCTGGGAAAATATCTGGGTTGAACAAACATTGCTGTGAGCACTCTTTCAAGCTACCGCCCTTTTATAGAGCCCCTAGAGCTACAGCTCCCAAGGCTGACAGGCCCGGGGCCTCCTGACGCAGCAGAGTACTTGTGAGCTGAGCGTGCTTACAGTCCAAACACCAGTCTTGCGTGGAGAAGTCAACTTCTGAGGTCAATAACACTGCACCTAGTCCAATGAGTTTCGGTGTTCAGTCTTAGAATTGAGCATTATGTATTGGTAAGCCCTGGGGCTGCCAAGTGTTTCCCTTTTAAATCTTGCTTCCCAAGAGAGTCGTGGTCTCTACCCTAATTACCACCAAATTGTGACCTTGATTCATTCGGCAGGAATTTGAGTCAGAGTACAAACTGGCTAGTCTGCCTCGCTGAGCAGCAGCAGCAGCATACCAGAGGACTAGACTTGAGATTCTAGCCCTAGCAGTGACTTTCTAACACTTGGAAATATTTAGGACCCATTATCCCTGATCCTCATTTGAAGGACCGACAGAGAAGGAACCAGTAGGGTAGCATAATATGATGGCTTCTTCTTAGTCACAGTGTCATAATGCTTTGTTATGAGACTCTGATTGCCTGTATACCTGATACGTGGTAGTCTCAGCAGATGATCTGAACTGATTAGATGTCCATTTAGAGATAGCTCAGTCTTTGCCGTTCAAAACGAAATCCCCCGGTCAGGTTTAAGTTATTCACTGCTGTCCCTTTAGGAATCTGGTGTGGTTCTCATCTCCCATTAACTTCCAGTCTTCAGCTCTTTTCTTGGTCCTTTATTTCTCTTCTTACTCAAGTGTCCCTGCATCTTGCACACTGAGACTGCTTACTAGTCCTCCAGGAACTTGGATATCGGTGGAATGACTTGGCTTTTAAGCGAAGCTGGAAAGCTAGGGCCGGCGGTTGGAGATCCCACATGTCACGCTGTGAGACGAGAGCCTGGAAGGCATGCCGGTCCTGCAGGCTCTCAGTGTGGCCTGCTCTCTCCCCGCAGGCAACATCACATGCAGCCCGGATGAATTCACCTGCTCCAGCGGCCGTTGCATCTCCAGGAACTTCGTCTGCAATGGCCAGGATGACTGCAGTGACGGCAGCGACGAGCTGGACTGCGCGCCCCCCACGTGCGGCGAGCATGAGTTCCAGTGCAGCACCTCTTCCTGCATCCCCCTGAGCTGGGTGTGCGACGATGACGCCGACTGCTCCGACCAGTCGGACGAGTCCCTGGAGCAGTGTGGCCGCCAGCCCGTGATGCACACCAAGTGCCCAGCCAGCGAGACCCAGTGCGGCTCAGGCGAGTGCATCCACAAGAAGTGGCGCTGCGATGGGGACCCTGACTGCAAAGACGGCAGCGACGAGGTCAACTGTCGTAAGTAGCCGCCTTATCAGCCCCACCTGCTCTGTGCCCCCCCTCTCAGGGTCTGCCTGGATGGCTTGGCTGACCCTTCCCACCCCACTGCCTCTGCAGCTTCGAGAACCTGCCGGCCTGACCAGTTTGAGTGTGAAGACGGGAGCTGCATCCATGGCAGCAGGCAGTGCAATGGTATCAGGGACTGTGTGGACGGCTCGGATGAAGTCAACTGCAAGAACGGTGAGGGGCTCCTCCTGGGGGTCAGTCAGAGGACTGCTCTGAGCAGCCCCACCAAATGGAATCTTGCTTTTGTGTTTCTCGTTGTAGTCAATCAGTGCTTGGGCCCTGGAAAGTTCAAGTGCAGAAGTGGGGAGTGCATAGATATCGGTAAAGTATGTAACCAGGAGCAGGACTGCAGGGACCGGAGTGACGAACCCCTGAAAGAATGTCGTAAGTGGAGGGGTTGCCTGAGCACAGTTGGGAAGGTTGATGACATCACCCCTAGCTAATGCTGTGTGGACCCTGCACAGGGCCTGCTTACACCACTTTTAAGGAACCTAGTCCAGTTTTTGGGCTTCAGGGTAGCATTTTTTATGCCTTAAAAGCAAAAGTAGTGACAGACTTGTTCACAGTTTTAAATTCCTTAAAGATAACTCATCAGCAATGGAGATACTTGGCTAAGTACTACGTAGCCAGCTGGTAACCTGCCAAGGAGATTGGGTTTCCTATTCCCCAAACCCTCTGAGATGCAGACCTTGAAGACAAATTTTTGGGCCTTAGGAAAATCATGGGTTTGACCAGACTAACTAGATAAGCGATTGCAAAAATCCAGGAGTGTAAATGTTAATCAGAGCACATATCAATTTGGAGTAAAGTGTGGGGTAACTCTGGTCCCTTTTTATTTCAGACGTAAATGAATGCTTGGTTAATAATGGTGGCTGTTCGCACATCTGCAAAGACCTAGTTATAGGCTATGAATGTGACTGCGCAGCTGGGTTTGAACTGATAGATAAGAAAATTTGTGGAGGTGAGTCCAGGAGGGAGCCTCAGCCCTGGTGCAGGGTGGGTGGGAGGAGGCTGTTGGGGGTAGGGGTAGTAGAGGAGGAGATGGGAAAGGACAGCATCTCACTGTAGGTCATGTAGGAACAGAAGACTAATGTTCATTTCCCTCCTAGATATTGACGAATGCCAAAATCCAGGAATCTGCAGCCAAATTTGTATCAACTTAAAAGGCGGTTACAAGTGTGAATGTAGTCGGGGCTATCAGATGGATCTTGCCACCGGCGTGTGCAAGGCAGTAGGTAAATGGACTTGGACTGGTGTTGCTACCTTTATGAGTAACCACTTGCACCAAGGGTACAGCCAGTGATTCCCAAGAGTCAACTAAATATGGAATTAAAATAGTATAGCCCTTCCTTGACTTATGATAGAGTCATACTCCAATAAACCCATTGTAAGTTGAAAATATCCTAAGTCAAAAATGAATTTAATATACCTAATCAAATAAATAAATAAACAAACAAACAAACCTAACCTACCAAATATCGTGGTTTAGCCACACCTGCCTTAAATGTGTTCAGAACTCTGAAGTCAGCTTATGGGGGCAACATCTTCTAACACAAAGCCCCTAAAGTACTGAATGTCTCATGTAATGTATCGAGTACTATACTGAAAGTCAAAAGCAGAATTCTTGCAGGGGTGCAGGTAGGTGTCAGTGCATCAGATGTTCACACCCTCGTGATCCTGGGGCTGGTGGGAAGCTGCGACTCACTGCCACTGCCCAGCATCATGAGAGAACATTATAAGAGAGGACGGTCGCACATATCACTGGCCTGGGCAAAGATCCCAACTCTAAACTCGAAGTGTGGTTTCTACTGAATGCAAACCACTTCTGTACCAAGTTGAAAAATCCTAACCGGAACCATCCTAAGCCGGGGACTATCTGTACTCCGAGCAATGCTACTTATTCACAGTGCGGTATCCTAGGTTAAACAAAAGATCCTTTCCCCAGACACCTGCTTTAGTCAGCTTCTTTTGCATGTGATACCATGAACACCTACCAGGTTTGCTTACTTTCTGCTTCCCAAAGTTGAGTGCAATCCCTGTGAGTAACGTGCCAGCCACCCTCCTATTGAATGCCATGACCCCAGGACTGCCTCCTTGAACAGCGCAAAGTGCTTGCACTTTCCTGGGGGCACGGACTGCTGCCAGCACACTTGTTAGGTGTTTCAGCGGTGCATTTACTTCATAGGTGCTGCTCCTTTGGGAGAAGGTGACTCGGAAGGACCTTGCCTTCTCACAGCGAAACTTAGTAAACCTGACTCTTGTCTTGCAGGTAAAGAACCAAGTCTGATCTTCACAAATCGAAGAGACATCCGGAAGATTGGCTTGGAGAGGAAAGAATATATCCAACTAGTTGAACAGCTAAGAAACACTGTAGCTCTTGATGCAGACATTGCAGCTCAGAAACTGTTCTGGGCTGATCTGAGCCAAAAGGCCATCTTCAGGTAACTTGAGTTCTCTGCTTAAGTGTTTCAGCCTAAGTCTTTGACATGTGGTCCTTGGGAAGGTTTGGGGGAATTTCTAGCTCCACTCTAGCATCTGATTAGCTGGGACTCTATGTCTGGACACTGATTGATTCTTCAACTATTAAGTTACCATTAGTTCCTCATTAGAAACTAACCATCATGTATGAAGTAAAAGGTGGCTGTAGCTATAGGATTATAAACAAAGGACATCTTCACTTCTCCTCTTGTCACCCCTTACTCTCTAATTAATGGATACCTTTTCATAGTTGCTACCAATAGAAATGGTAGTGGCAGCTTTTTCCTAAGGGGAACTCTAGAAACTCAGATGGTAGCTACTGCACCAAACAGTTTTGCTTAGAAATGTGTCATTCTTGAATATCGAGGATGTACCAGCAGCTACATAACAGTATTATTTAGCATTGGTAAGAAGCACAGTTAAATAATTGGAGTGGTAAGCGATGGTGTTACCAGAATTTCTTCTGAACAAAGTTGTGGATCATTTTGTAAGCAGGAAGTCCATTCTACAGGCTCTGATGGTATCAAACTCCTAAATTTCTTGTGACCTATTCTGTTTCAGTGCCTCAATTGATGACAAGGTTGGTAGACATGTTAAAATGATCGACAATGTCTATAATCCTGCAGCCATTGCTGTTGATTGGGTGTACAAGACCATCTACTGGACTGATGTGGCTTCTAAGACTATTTCAGTAGCTACCCTAGATGGGACCAGAAGGAAGTTCCTGTTTAACTCTGACTTGCGGGAGCCTGCCTCCATAGCTGTGGATCCACTCTCTGGGTTTGTAGTCTGTTTTTCTAGCCTTTTGGATGCTATCTGTATGCCAGGAGCTTTCCTCCTGGCCGGAATAATATTGAAACCCCAGGACACACAGCTCCCCCACAACAAAGCAACATCCTCTTTAAGATGTCATTGGTGCCACAGTGAAGCAAGTGTGCTGCCTTATCGGCCCTCTCTGGCAGTATGACCGCCGGGTGACATGAAGGAAACATGTTTGATGCACACCAAAAGCTGTATCTTAACCCTGATGGCCACCCAGCTTCTCTGCTGGGTGATTTTCTATTTTAGTCTGAATGCTTTGTCAGGTTAGCTCCAGGTGATCGAACCTAAGTATTAGCACTTATTGTGAGGATTTTGGTAACCATGTTACTTCAAGGCTTTTGTCTAAATGTCCAAGTTGTCTGAAAGTCTACATGAAATGAATGGCTCTCTCCAGCAACATTTGACGTGTTTCCCTAAATTGGTGCTAAGTAATATAGAAAAGCAGCTTAGCAAGTTACTAAAGCTGTGGTAATGACCCCTGGCCCCCGTAAATCCTCGCTAGAATGGTCAGCCAGCCCCTCTGATAGAACCTAACACATACTCACCTTTCAGTTCTCTGAAAGAATTGGCCTTTTGTAAAGAAGTCTATAACCTGTGACTTGGGCTTGAAATGTAATTATCACACTTAGATTAATATAGCTCATAATGAGCTTGTAGATTCTTAGTGTTAACTTCTGTTTACTCAGGACATAATTTGGACCTGTTCCTGTTGGTCTCTAGACGTTTCTAGTCATTCTTTAAATGTGTGTCTCAAACTACACATTTATGCCTTCTAAACCACTGAGGTTTTTTTTGTTTTGTTTTGTTTTGTTTTCCATTTAATTCTTCCCAGGTTTGTGTACTGGTCAGACTGGGGAGAACCAGCTAAAATAGAAAAAGCAGGAATGAATGGATTTGATAGGCGGCCGCTTGTGACAGTGGACATCCAATGGCCTAATGGAATTACACTTGGTATGTCTGTCCTTCCTTCATTGGCCACCAACTCAATGGTCTCTGCTGCTTTCGCTTCCCTCCATAGTTTATTCTGGACTACAGCAGACAGCTCCCATGGTTCCTTTAGTAGCAAGAATTTTGGATGAGAGTAACTGACCAATGCAAGTCGAGTACTGGCCTTAACGAATTACATGCTCCATCATTACTAGCTTTTTGATCCATATGGACCTAATATGTGACATGAATTCAGTGCATCTTGGGCCTTGGCAACTCTCATCCATCAGGGAAGAGCAACATGCTAGCTTCCTTTAACACTTCTATTATGTGAGTACCATTTCTTAAGTCAGCTCCTTTGAGAATCTTAGCTGCTCCTTGAATCCCCCAGAATGAGTGTGGGTACAGATTCTGCATGCTGCCTCTCAAGGTTTCTGGGACCCCATTAGGAACCCATGCTGGAGAAGGAACCATGAGATTAGAATATTGGATTCTCTGAGTATTTTCAATGGAAGCCAGGGTGGTGATGGCCTATCATGCACTGACAATTCTTTCCCTATCTAGACCTTATAAAGAGTCGTCTCTACTGGCTTGACTCCAAGTTGCACATGTTGTCCAGCGTGGACTTAAATGGCCAAGACCGTAGGATTGTCCTTAAATCTCTGGAGTTCCTAGCTCATCCTCTGGCACTAACCATATTTGAGGTGAGATGTGTGCATCATGTCTAAGTATATACCTCTGAGTTACTTCAGCACTCCTGGGGAGAAAGGACAGAACAGGGATGGGGAAAGGAAGGATGGGTGGAGAAGCATGACCTGAGAAACTGCTCTCACTGCCATCATGGGATGCATTAGATACTCATTTCCTCTAGCACTTTAAGAAGCCCCAACTTGCTTTCCACCAGTTTGACATCTAACCTCCCAGAGCAGTGTTCAGTAAAGTTGCTTCATTAAATTACCAGAAAATAAGATGAATACAGTATCTATGGTCATCATTAGGTGTACCTGCTAATTTGGAGGTTCTGTTTTAGGATCGTGTCTACTGGATAGATGGAGAAAATGAAGCAGTCTACGGTGCCAATAAATTCACTGGATCAGAGCTGGCCACACTAGTCAACAACCTTAATGATGCCCAAGACATCATTGTCTATCACGAACTCGTCCAGCCGTCAGGTAACATGGACAAGCACAGCCCTAACGTCTGTGAGGACGGCAGCATGATGTAATACCTGCTTGGCTGCCAGTAGCTCTTGAGCAACTCAACTTGCTCTAAAATGGAACTTTCCCCTCAATACCCTACCTCCAACACTTCAAATGTTTTTTTTTTTATTTTCTATATGTTCTTTGTTATTTTCTTATGTTCTTTTCACTTCTGACTTCCTAATGAAACAGAACTTTAGCTCCCCCCTTCCCTTCATACCCTCAGCATTCAGTCTTTCATTCAGGCTTTTCCATACCTCTTGGCCTTCATTCCCTTGTACTAAGACTATTGCACTACCCTCCAAATTAGCTCTGATACCACAAACTTTTCCTACCTCTATGTCATGACACATCTTATATGTAGATCCTCAAACACATCTGGTCATACCAAGTCCTGCTCAAAATACTTGACTGATACTATCTGAATGAAATCTTCAAACTCCCTCTAGCTGGGCTCCTTCCCCTGAGAATCTAAGGGGTCCTCAATCTAAGTAGTGGGTCACTCCTGCCCCGACCTGCTCCCTCACCACCCATCTGTTCCAGGCATAATCCTTATGCCACTTTCAAGAAGTTTCTTTGGATCTGTGGTATCCTTAGAGCATGCTGCCTGTTGTACTGGTTGAACTTCAAGGTTGGACAGAGTTAGACAAGTATCTCTCTGGGGACAAGGACTCATATCTTCAGCATCCAGAACAAGGCTTTATATATAGTAAATACCAGAATGCCTCTCTTAAAGGACTTTTGTCTCTGGATAGGTAAAAACTGGTGTGAAGAGGACATGCAGAATGGAGGCTGTGAATATCTGTGCCTGCCAGCACCACAAATCAACGATCACTCTCCAAAATACACGTGTTCCTGTCCCAATGGGTACACTCTAGAGGCAAACGGCCGGGAGTGCCACAGTAAGGCTTTGTACTTTTCAGCCACAAGCAGGACATAACGACAGGCAACAGAATGAGACACTTAGCCATAAATCTAGCCTGGATGTTAGGAATTCTGTCTTAATTGATTCTTGGAATAGATTTGAGAACATACCTGCTACTGATGCATGCCGGGTTGTTCATATCATTACGTCACAAACTGACTTCTCACTCGTTTCAGCATTAGGTGAGTCTACAGGTGACCCAAGTGTGAATGGGACTATCTTGATGTTCTAGTTAGTCTCCTAACAGCACTGAGCCTGCCAACTCAATGATAATTAAAACAAAGTCTTAGTATTTTCCTCCAGAGAGAGAGGCCATGGTTACAGGAAACCTTATGGCCCCAGAGGGCAACACCGTCTTAAACTCACACTTAAACCCAACTTGATTTTCGTCCTCCTTTCTTAGCTTTTGGTTGAGTGGCAAATTAAACTCTTAGGTTGTGAGCAAGGAGCTCCTATGGTGAGGTTTTTATTAGCTAAATATGGAGTCCCTGCAGAGACCAGCTCAGTTTACTGAGAAAGTAACTGTAAAACAGTCTGACAATAAGACTAGTCCTGTCCTCGAGAACATTTCTTGTAACTTCCAAGACGGTGTGGCTATGCATCTTTTCAAATTATCAGATTCCAAATGCTGACTGTGCTGTCCAGAGTCTTGTGGGTCTCTGGTTTTTTGTGAAGACTTCCTTTCCACTTTGACCATGCAACTTAGTTCAGCAGTGACTGGTTTTATTTCCTGTGGGGTTCATATAAACCCTCACATGGTTTGTCTGGAGGAAACAGCTAACCGCTCTGGAACCTTGGCATTAACCAGGTTCTTGGTCTTTATAATTCAGGTACTGCAACTACTCTGACTTACAGTGAGACAAAAGATATCCACACAACAGAAATTCCTCCAACTAGTGGACTAGTTCCCAGAGGTACTGGGCCTATACTGCAAACTGCAAATCTCAACTAACAGCCACACTCTTTGTATTTGTTGCTTAAATAATTAATGCAGCCCTGTAACTACTAGGTCTTCTCCTAGCTGGTAACCTACATTTCAGCTCCAAAGCCTGAAAGCCTGCAAATCTTAGACTGACCTGACTTATTAAGATTTCTACTAGACAACTATTAGTGAAATAGCTATTCTAGCGTGTGACTGTCAAATCCTTCTAGACCAGTGCCTGGAATGCAACGCAGTAGATACTGAACGGCAGTAGTGGGTGCCAGGGCATGAAGTGCTCCACCAGATTGTTCAGTTTCTCAGTCTGAGCTCACATCCATCTAAATGGATTCCTTTCCTTCTCCTGTAGGGATCAATGTGACCACAGCAGTATCGGAGGCCACTGTTCCCCCAAAAGGCACTTCTGCTGCCTGGGCCATCCTTCCTCTCTGTAAGTACACTCCCCACATTTCTGGATAAGCTTGTTAGACACCAACTAGATGGGTATTTCTAATCCATCTAGAGACATCGCCCCCATGGCACAGTACTCATGACACTGATTCTATTCACTCCCTCCCCAGCCTGCCACACCGAGTTGTGTCCATACCTTTCTTTTTGATGGTATCCTTGGCACAGTGAGTGACAGTGATGGAATGCTTAAGTATTACATGAAAGATGCTGATTGCTCCCTACCTCAGAGTTTTTAGTCTTTCTTGTCCCCTTTCATGCTACATTCCTATAGGTAAAGAGCACTGATCTATTCTCCTTTTAAAGGTGTATAATGGGGATCCCTGGGTGGCACAGCGGTTTGGCGCCTGCCTTTGGCCCAGGGCGCGATCCTGGAGACCCGGGATCGAATCCCACGTCGGGCTCCCGGTGCATGGAGCCTGCTTCTCCCTCTGCCTGTGTCTCTGCCTCTCTCTTTCTCTCTCTGTGACTATCATAAATAAATAAAAATTAAAAAAAATTTTAAAGGTGTATAATGCTTCATAGAGAGGAGACAAACAAATGCCTAAATGCTTTCTTGAGGAGTTGTAGGACTCATAGAGGGTAAATTAAAAATAGTTAAGAATTCGCAGACTCAGGCAGCCCTGGTGGCTAAGTGGTTTGGCGCCAGCCTTCAGCCCAGGGTGGGATCCTGGAGACCCGGGATCAAGTCCCACGTCAGGCTCCCTGCATGGAGCCTGCTTCTCCCTCTGCCTGTGTCTCTACCTCTACCTCTACCTCTACCTCTACCTCTACCTCTCTCTCTCTCTCTCTGTCTCTCATGCATAAATAAATAAAATCTTAAAAAAAAAAAAGAATTCGCAGACTCAGGGGGAAGAGCCTCTGGAGCAATTATTAGGCATGGGGATTTCTAAGGGTCTGTGTGCTAATGGTCACTTAATCGTGGAATACTGGATTCCACGCTTAGCTACCACACCTGAGAGACTACTTGAAAAGATTTCCAGAAATTCCTGAAATTTTAATTCAGTTGGCCTGGACAAGGGCCCAGGACTCTATGCTTGCCCAAATGGATATGTTGAGCTTAGCACCAGTCTGCAGAATAACACTTAACCACAGGTCTAAACTTGTTTCAAGTTCCGAGCCCATTTATATTCTAACATCCAGTTATGCTAGCTTCCTACGACATGACATGTTTATTAATGCCAAGTATGATGGATTCCTGAACATGACCTTCTTTGGTATGTTTTGAGACTAGACCCTGCTTAGTCACCCTCTGACTTTTTTCAGTGCTCTTAGCAATGGCAGCGGTAGGTGGCTACTTGATGTGGCGGAATTGGCAGCACAAGAACATGAAAAGCATGAACTTTGACAATCCTGTGTACTTGAAGACTACTGAAGAGGACCTGTCCATAGACATTGGTAGACACAGTGCTTCTGTTGGACACACATACCCCGCAGTAAGTAAGCTTTGTGTCTTGATACACCATGGTTTGCAGTAGGACTTTCTGGAAAGGAGACCACTAACTCAAGCTCTGGCTGCTTGGGCTAGGAAGAGCCATTAGGATCACAAAGCCACCAAATACATCTACTACACCTGGAGATCAGACAGTCTAACCATTAGAGCATATGCCAGTCAGTTGATAAGCATCTGTCCCCTACAGAATGTCAGGTAAGTCAACCTAAGGCCATCACTATACTATTGGAGATATTTTTAGTTATAGAAGCTATATGTAAATATTAGCATGAACCAAGTGGCTCCTATTTGAACTGCCAAGTCAGCTGTCTACTGGATGCTTACAAGTTTGCATATGCTATGCAAGGGAGTTGGCTTAAAGTCAGCATATTGAGCAAGATTCCTTTAGCCATAATTACCAAATGCTTACTGTAGCTAGCTTCCTTTCAGCAAGAGAGTCCCTTGGTCTTCAGTTGAAACCCAAATGGAGTATTTGGCCTTCACTTAGGGAACAGTCTGGACAAAACAAGTGCTCAGTGCTCCCTCCCAAGGTGTCTGGTGAAACAAAGAATGATGGTCAGTTCATGGCACGTGTGTCTTTTTCCCATTTTTCTCCAGGATTTAACATCGTTCAGTGGAATGGCAGCATCAGCTCCGCTATTTTCTCTCTCCACCAAGTAGATACACAGAATTCAAGTTAAAAATGCATCAGTGACAATAAATACTGTTTTAGATCTAACTTCCCTCCCACATCCCTTTGGTCTCTGAATGGCCAACTCAAAAGCAAGGTCCATTTTAGAGACTGGAATTACTATCAATGAGTGATCACCAAGCTCATTCTGTACTTTTTCTCTTCCACAGATATCAGTTGTAAGCACAGATGATGACCTAGCTTGACTTCAGAGACAAGCCTTGACCTTTGAGGTCTAAACCAATAACCCTCCACTTCGAAATGGTAACCGAGCCAGCGCCTGAAGTCTTTCTTCCTTCAGTCTGGAAGAACATCAAGATATCTTTACTTGGATCAAGCTTGTATACTTGATCATTTTTATATTACTTTTGTAAATATTCCTATCCACATTCTACTTCAGCTTTGGATGTGGTTACCAAGTATCTAATCCTTGAGTTTCTAGACAGTATTGCCACATCTGGCCAAATATGCACTTTCCCTAGAAAGCCATATTCCAGCAATGAAACTTGTGCTATAGTGTATACCACCTGTACATACATTGTATAGGCCATCTGTAAATATCCCAGAGAACAATCACTATTCTTAAGCACTTTGAAAATATTTCTATGTAAATTATTGTAAACTTTTTCAATGGTTGGGACAATGGCAATAGGATAAAACGGGTTACTAAGATAAAATTGCCAAAAAAATTTGTAAACTAATTTTGTACGTATGAATGAAATCTTTGACCTCAGTGGAGGTTTGCAAAGACTGAGTATTCAAACTACTGTACATTTTTTTTTCAAGTGCTAAAACAATTAAACCAAGCAGCTTAACCATGGTTTGTGCCTATTCCTCTAGGATAAACTTCTATCAACGGCCTGAGTAGTATCAAGCATTCTAACTAAATATGAGCTAGATAATATAGATGTTGATGTTGTGTAACTAAGCCTATAACTTGGCTTCTTACAACCAAGTACTAAAAGAACAAAGTTCCATGGAATGAATATTTGTTCCCAAAATATTTATTTTATAAAAGAAGCTAGCTTAGCCTGAACCTAGAATTCCTCTTGCTTAGAGGCGGGTTCTTTTCTGATTAATTTATTTCCTGATGTAGAAACTGATGCTAAGATTTGTAGCAATTCTGCTTCTAATACTTAAGTCTCTGTTTTCTGTGTTCTATCATTATATGTAGCTCCAGGACAAGTGCCTTCTTGTCCTAGAGCAAAGTGTGTTCGTCTTTTATAAGCCTATATTGCCTACCATGAAGAGAGCTGGAGAGGTAACAGGTAGTGCCCTTCTTGAACACTCTAATGTACTAGTTTCTCACCAGGATTAGCATCTCCATCCCCTGGGAACCTGTTAAAAATGCAAGTTCTTAGGCCCCTTCCCAGACCTGCTGAATGAGAAACTCTGGGAGGTAGAGTCCAAGAATATGTTTTCACAAGCCCATCAGGTGATTCTGATGTCCACTACAGTTTGAAAACCACTGTTCAAATGGGACCTCATCGAGAATCTGTAACATCTCATTTTTCAGTTTGGCTGGCATAGGATGGATTCCTTCTGTGGACAATGTCTGAAATTCTTAGTATGAAGAGCAGATGAGGAATTTGGGAAGAAAAAGTAGCACAGGGATTTAGTAAGTTTTCCATCAGATTGGCTATTACTGCCTTTCTCTAAAATCTCAGGAGGTGAGCAAACAAGAGAAGACATGAGGCTTGGAGCCCTGGGAAGATGCTCTAATTCCAAAGAGAGGTGGGGCATCTGCTGCAGAAGATCTGCTTCCTCCTGGGACTCCATGACCAAGGCAGGAGCAAGAGGATGAAGAGATGTTTTGAGTTGCTAAATGATCGGTGGAGGATTCCTATTCTACTTGCACATGGAATATAAGTAAGGCAGCTGACACCTTGCTTGTGGCTTAGGCAGAGACCACCAATCTTAGATGAAGTTGCTTCTGCTATATTGTTCCATAGATACCCTATTGTGATTTTGGTCAAATGGTTTTTAAAATGAAAGAATAGGTGTGTGTGTGTTCGTGTGTTCGTGTGTTCGTGTGTGTGTGTGTGTGTGTGTGTGGTATGCAAGTCTGGCATATAGAAGGAAGAGGCTGTAGCTGTGAAGGTAGGACTCTGTTGTCTACCTGTTGCTTCCTCTTCAAATAGTCATTACAAGAAACAGGATGTGGCCTACTTACAGGGTATCTGAAGTGCCCATGTGATAAGTGGGTTAGTGTTCATCATATCTCAATTCTGAAGGCCATTTGGTTGACCGGTACTTTGACCCGGCTATGATACAAAACCTACCTATTTCTTTTTTTAATTGGAGCAATACAGAATTCCCTCCTAGGAAGTTTGAAGATAGCAGTGTGTTCCCCCATTACAAGGACTGTATAGGATTAATTAACATCAAGGCCTAAATCCATAGTTTTTAGGAATAAAATCAAGCATTATTCTCTATCTTCTCTCTGATCCCAGTCCCTATTGTGTTCTTTTAAGTTCTAGGTCCCACTCTCCAACCTTCAAAGAGTCTAATGTATTTCCTTCTTTTACCTTGCCCTTCCTCCAGTAAGTAGCCAAGGACAGAAACTCTAACTTAAGAGTTATAAAAAATGAAGTAACTAGATATTTCTACTGAAATAAGAATAGTTAATATGGCTAGTCAATTCAGCATATAATATTAGTTCAAGAGGAACTAGAGCCTTGGGCTTTAGTATCCAAATAAGAGCTGTAAGAATCCTACATGAAACATACTGGTGTAAGTTTGCTATGTCTGTAGAATTTACTAGGGAAGGTGACAATTAGTTAAGAAGTGAAATAGGGAGCTTATCTAACACTAAGAAGGAGATTTGGAGCTCAGTGTGTCATACAAAGTCACTGAACATGGGTCCTCCAGAGACTTTAGGAATTGTTACAAAGATTGATAAGAGATGAGTAAACAGATTTATGGCCCTTGGTAAAGAAATCCAGCCAAGTCCCTGAGTCCAAATTCTTCAGTGGCCTTTACAAGCTGTTTGGCAAAAAGAATTCCAGTTGTTCAACAGCTCCCTGAAGACATTCTCATAGCTATATTAGGGCCATGGCATCATCTTCAAGCCTACAGTGTTCTATTCTTGATGAACACAAGGCAAAAAGGGAGTGGGGGTGGGGGGCTTCAACTTCCGCACTTCTGTTCCTGGCATCTTTGGAAGTCAGAGAGCTCTAATGAGAGAGAGAGAGAGAGAGAGAGAGAGAGAGAGAGAGAGAGGGAGGGAGGGGCAGGCTTTAGATAGCAAAACTACAGGGCATTTAAAGAACTAATTCTTTAGTTTAATATTTAGAAATGGGAGACCTAACTGAACTAGAATCCTTGATTTTAGCAGCAGGGTGACTTGCAAGAAGCATATGCACTTTTGCTGTGGTAACTTAGGGCCAAGAATTTAGAATACAACCTGCTAATCTTGATCACTGAGTTTGAGAGCTCCTCAGTTTCATAATCAAGTATCTAGCCTGACTCTTTGGAAAAATTGGCAATTATATGTTCATGTTTCCATCATACTATGGACCTAAACTGTGAGGTTTGGGAATACATAGAAAAAGGTTTCAAATATACCTTGTTTCCAAATATAGTGGACTTTTTTGTGCATATACCATCCTTGCCTGCTTTCACAGAGCAAAGGCTGAATCAGGATTAGCAGCGAGGTCCTATGTGTGTGAATTTTGGGGATCCACAGATAAGTTATTAAGGAACAGATGACAGAAGTGTCTCAATTCTCTATTTTTTCTCCCAAATCTATTGAACTTTTCCAAGCCTGGCTCATTCAAGAAACAGGAATGAAGTGGGACCACTCTCTGACAATCCCCCTGTAAACCTTCCACCCAGAGTCACAGAAGCTGCTGTGGGCTCTGCAGGGGGCCCTGAACACATCATCAATAGTTTTCTTTTTCATTGTGTGTAAGGGGAAAATTAGGTGGTCAGCAAGGAGGTTCACAAGCATGGACCCTGGTGTCAGTTGTGACATGGTAGCTTGGGCAAGCTACTAATCCCCTCAGTAAATGGACAAGATGGAGACTGTTGCCATGCCATGGTGAAGGTTAAGTGAGAAGGCATAGACGGACTCAGCACCACCATGTCTGGCATTTAGTGAGTGCAAGGCAAGTGTTACTGCTGGAGGTTACTCTCGATCTATGCCTTTATTTGTATTCATTGTGGCACGATCTAGAACCTCCTATGTGACTTTACCAGGAAGGGTTACAGTAACTTGACTCATTGAGCACAACAAGCATTAGACCTTGTCCCAAGTGTGTCCCACTACACCTGTCTGATGAGATCTAGGTGTGAATTTCAGGTAGTGATATAACCTTTATACAGTTAAAAAAAAAAAGCTTTAAGGGTTCCATGATTTAAACCCTAGACATTTAGCCTGTGGGTTTCTGTTCCAATCTTTTGACTTTACTGCCTAGAACATGGAAATAAATATTTGGTAGCCTACACAGTCTTTGGATGGTGCTAAAGCATTTTGAGTTTCCCTTAACATCTTAATAGCTTAATAATGTGTTAAATAAGTGCTGGCATGTATTTTTTTTTTGATCTTCACAACAACCCAAGTTGGTAAGTGTCTTCATTTTATGATGTGAAAATTGAGACCACAGATAATATAGGGATTCCAAACCCTATGTGCTTCCTGCCATGCCCTCTCAGAAAAGGAGGCAGAGATGTGTAAAGGTTAAGCCAGATGTCACACTAAATGTTTGCTGAGTCCCCTTTACTACTGATAGTAGGGATCCCTCAGTAGTTTCCCAGTGTGTCAGAAGCCCTAAATGGCTGGCATCCAATATAGTGGTGTACCAGTAGTATAACACTAGCAAAACATTGTTATGTGTGCCATGCTTCAAGATGCCAGACGTTGCAGAATTATTCTCCTTGTGAAGTAGAAGTAGATTACTGGATTGCAAAGTAAAAGAAAAAGATCCCCTGAAGGAATTTATGGACAGGCAACATCCCTCCTGTGTACAAAGCTGTATCAGAACCAATCATACATTGTAAGGTTCTCACAAGACATACCCAGTAAAACAGGAATAACTATGACTTAGGTCAAGTGACTGATGGATCTTAGATATTCTGGAATCTACCCCTGAGACCTAGGTATTTCTCTATTTATACACACGCACAGGGAGAAAAGAATTCTTTGCATAAAGTGACTGGCTTTGAAAAAAACTACCTTGCCCTTTTAAAATGTCACTCGATACCAAAATGTGATTTAAGAGCATGTAATGCCTTGGGATTCTAGAGCATATGGCTACATTATCATGCTCAGGATCTTCAGAATTCTATAGACACATGTTGGAATGCATCAAGTCCTGCTGACCTGTAGACAAGCATTTTTCTTTTATTAATGAACTGTACATGTAACTTAAATAAAAGTTTATTTTTGAGATGACGGTCCTAAGACTTTCCTTGTTCTACACAACTTTTTAAAAAGCTTTTCCTCAAATCTTTCACTGTTATGCAACTGAATCACTGAAGATGGTTCAGTCATCCCTTTCTAGAAAACAGCTTGAGCTGCCTAGATCTGGACTCATCAAGCTGAAAGGATGGGAGATGTCCCCTCTCTTGTCATACTGAGAAATACAATTAGTGTCTCTCTAGAGGTAGCCAAAACCTTGCCCTTTCACACTCCTCCTTCCCACTCCTCTGGTAGGAGAAATGACAATCAAAGCTACTATTACCAGGGAGTTAGGCCAGAGCCTGCTCCCTGTGGGTGACAGAGAACACATGCTTCCTGCCCAAAAGGGGTTAGCCCCAGGGTGACAGGACAAGACAGGCCTTAACAGACAAGTAAAATCATTTTGGTATTTCCCCTCATCAGTTCTTAAGTGGTTTGTGTTGAAATTCATGTATGATAAGCCTACATGTTTGTGAGCCTTAGAGATAATTCCATCTGAAACTTGTCCAAGCAGTAGCCCCCACTTGTTGGAATCATGCTGCATGCTAAACCTTGAGATTGGCTCAGGGAATCCAAAAATGTCGTGGGAGGAAAATAAGCTGAGGGAAAAAGAAACTGCCAACAAAACAATACAAAAAACAAACACCCAACTTTGAAAGCTCAGGAGTGAGTCCTTTGTGAATGCAATGATTCACTTAATGAGTGAAATGTTAAGTGAATACTGGCAGTGCAGTGATAGGAATGTGGTGAGTTTGGATGTGTCTCCTGACTACTTCATTAGCCGTGGCCATAGGTAAGCTGCTTACCATCCAAGCCCTCTCCTTCTATGGAAGTAAGAACACCCACCTGGCATAGGGTTCTCATAAGAGAAAGAAGCAACACTTATAAAGTGCTTCACTCGAATAACTACTGTCTTCCTCTCCAGTGCCAAAAAGTCATGATTCATTTAAAAAAAAAGTTAAAATGTTTTACTGGTGTCCTCTTGGAGATCTGAGTTTGATCTGCATGCTCACATCAAATCCCATTTGCGAGAAAACATAGAACCCTCTTATACTGCTGGTGGGAATGCAAGCTGGGGCAGCCACTCTGGAAAACAGTATGGAGGTTCCTCAAAAAGTTAAAAATAAGGCTACTCTATGACCCAGCAATTACACTACGAGTTATTTGCCCAAAGGATACAAACATAGTCAAAGGATACAAAGGATCTAAAGGTACACCTGCACTCCAATGTCTATAGGAACAATGTCCACAATAGCCCAGATATGGAAAGAGCCCAGATGTCCATCGACAAATGAATGGAGACTATGTTTATAGTTATATATAATGGAATATATATTATATTGATATATATATACATAGAATATATATTATATATATAATGGAATATATTATATATAATGGAATGTTACCCAGACATAAAAAAAAATGAAATCTTACCATTTGCAATGATGTGGATGGAACTAGAGGGCATTATGCCAAGCAATCAGAGAAAGACAATTATCATATGATCTCACTCTTACATGGAATTTAACAAAAACAGGATCATAGGGGAAGGGAGAGAAAAATGAAACAAGATGAAATCAGAGAGGGAGACAAACCATAAAAGACTCTTAACTCTAGGAAACTGAAGGTGGCTGGAGGAGAGGGTTTGGGGGGATGGGGTGCCTGGGTGATGGGCACTGAGGAGGGCATGTGATGTAATGAGCATGAGGTGTTACATGCAACAAATGAATCACTGAACTCTACCTCTGAAACTAATAGTACAGCATATGTTAATTGAATTTAAATAAAATTTTTTAAATTAAAAAAATAAATTTCACTTCTGAGTATTCCTTCTCAGGTGTCACCTCAAAAAAAATGGTAGCATTTGGCAATCTGTTTTTACTCCAAGAAATGTAGAGAAATCTTCCTGCATCTGCAAACTTTACAGAAAGCCATATGTGTGAGACCCTCTGCTGATTCAAGAGCACAGGTAACTGGTTCAAATTCACCAATTATAGAGAGGTCTGTTTAATCAGTGGGAGAGGAAGACACTGAACTTTGTTCCACTCCAGAAGGTCAGGATAGGATTCTCTTTGGATTCAACATGCTCAGCAAATGTGATAGGCCCATCACCTAGGAAATGTCAGAGAATGCTAAATTTTGCTTCTTTTGTTGTTGTCTCTCCTTCAGAGGCATTTCTGCTTACCTGTTGATTGATGACAGACTATTTTTAAACTCAGAGTCATTTCATATTTCTTAAATTCATCCATTTACATGTGAAATCTGCTGAAGATTAGTTTTTGGAAGCCAAAAGCAAATTTGCCTTTTGGTCTGACCCCCAGATGAATAGCCCTGTGATTTCCTGAGTAGAGCTTACAAAGACTGGAGGATGACTTGAGGTAACTAGTTAACAACTGGCATTCCTTCTCAGGCATCCTGTGCTCATTCTAGCTGAGCATCAGGCACAGAACAGACATTTACTATGTCACATATGTTAAAAGCTACAAAGAAAAACAAAATGAGAGTCGGGGACAGAGAATGATAGGATATGCTGTTTTAAGTAGAGTGATCAAGGGAAGCCCTACAAGGAAGTGACGTGAGCAGAGCACCTGGGCCAGAAAGTGTGGGAGTGAGCCCAGTGAGGACACAGCAGAAGTGGAAGTCCTGAGGCAGGAACATCGTTGATTCTTCCATGACAAAGCAAGGCAGCCACATAGCTAGAAGCAGTCGTGACAGAAAAGGGAGAAGAGTAGAGACCTAGTGATGTAGGTGTCAAGGGCTGTGGTTGGGGTTTAGGATTTTAAGTGATGGGACATCTTTAGAGGGTTTCTGAGCAGCAGCATGACTTCCTGTTTTAAAAGGATCGTGTTGAATGACTGCTTTGTTGGCAATAGACTGCAGGGATGCACGAGGGAAAACAGGGAAATAAACTGGTTGACTATGGCAAGAGGGCAGGTAGGTGGCCATGGCTTGGGCTGGGTTGATGGGGAGGCAAGGAAGCTCTACTCCACGTCTTGCCTGTCATTTCAAGGCAAGAATGTGCCCAAGCTATCTCCAGGAGTGGCCAATGTGTCATGATAGATGGTCTCCTTATTCAGGAGAACCTAGCTGGTTCCTAGCTCCGCTGTGCTCTCTGGCTGTCCCCAGACTGGGCAAACCCTGGCACTGATGGAAAAACTCAACAAAGCTTCATGGTAACTAGGAAGAAAGCCCTGCTCCTCCTCCCTAACAAAGGAAGTCTGAATCTGGGAGAAAAGAAGAGCCTGGACTGTAATTCCCAGTCCACACAAACACAAGTCTTTCACCTATTCGAAGGGGGAGCACTTTCCTACTTCAAGGTAGCGCCTGTCCAGGTACACATCTTGGTAAAGTCATTTTGGTGCAGAATTCTGGGCTAGCTCTTAAGTAATGTCCTCTAAGGGAGTGTTTTCTATAGGAGGTACCATTTACACACACACACACACACACACACACACACACACACACAAAATGGGCTTTAGACAGGATCAAGCATTTCCCATCTATCCAACCACTGTGTATTTTCTTATCACCTGCCTTCTCCTTAAAGGCAGTGGAGAATTATTCAAACTACATTCCCTAAGAAACTTTAGGGTCCTGGGTTAAAAGAGACCCCAAGTTCACAGAGTCTGATACTTGTCTGATTAAGGTGGTCACAGGTCAACAGACACAGAATATGTCTGCCTGAAGTTACCAAGCAAGGAGACCCCCATTCACCCACAGAGTAATATCCACTCTCATAAGACTTGAAATTCAGCAACAGCTCATGAACCTTCAGTATTTTAAAAAAAAAAAAAAAAAAAGGACACTATTTTGGAAAATAAGAGCCTCCTAGAACCAAAAAATTTAGGAAAGGGCTTTTAAAAATATGTATATTTAGAAGTGAGGTAAGGCTCTGAAGGGCACCCCTGCATGTCACAGAATAGAAGCCAAATATTAACAAACCGGTTTGAAACAGAAAAAGCAGCCTCTTCTCTGACATTAGCTACAGTACCTGTTTCCATTCAGAGAAGAACAGCAATCTTCTGTATCTCGGGATCTGGGGCCTCTCCTCTGGAGAGGAGGCTGAGAAAAGAGGCTACGTGCATTTCCCCTCGCGTCTCCCTCCCCTGCAGCAGGCACTGTGTTCCAGCCCTCTGTGAACTGTCTCCATTAGGAGGCAGATAAGATTTCAATGGGCCTAATTAATAGGGCCAATTTGCCAAAAGCAGTACACCAGTTCAGTAGAGAATCCCACGTTCTCTCAGAAAACCAGGGAAACTGCACTGGAAAAAGATTACTTAAAACCTAAACTAACTGTTGCTTCTTTTGCCCTGGCAGGAAGGCTGCCAATGCCCCTGAAAGGGAAATTTCTATATATTGCTACAAGAGAAGGAAAACCTTTGGACTTGCCAAGAGAGTGCCAGGCTGAGTTTGGGGAGTGGGCTACAGATGGCTGAATGGTGCTGTGCCCCCAAAGAGAGAAGGCTTGAGTTGGGAGTGGGGGAAGTGCTGGGAAGGAGCAAGGTGGCACACAATAGATGCAGAGTCTCGAGCTGGCGGTCAACAGGACACGTCATATGAGACTGTGGACCAGTTACATTTTCTGTGCCCCCAACATTCTTACCTCTCCAGTCTGTTGGTCAAGTGTATGGTACCCTAACAGTTGGTATGACTGGATTTTGATGAAAGTCCTAGAAAGGAGGTCTGGGCTCCAGACCAGTGTCAGTCCAGTCCCAGGTCTGGACTGACATGGCACAACAAGGAAGGGACTTATGGGACAATCCAGTAACTCAATTGAACTAACTCAGCAGCTGCAAGAGCTTAAACCCAGAGTGTGAGCTCTCAGAGCTCTTCAGCTGGGACAGTGGACTTTACACAGGATGGAGAATGGAAGTTCCAGCCCATACCATCTGGCGGGGGCAGAGTGACTCCATATAATGTCACAAATTATTAAATTTATTAGGTGAGATCAGGTGGCCCTTAAGATGTTATGGACCCAACATTTTGCT